GGGTAGGCTATCCCGCCTCGCTTGTCCAGGATGTGATCCTTTGGGGATGCTTCGCTTCCCGTCCCGTGCATCGTTGTGTGGCTCCAGGCGGCAACACCAGGGAAGTGCCATGTGACAATAATGAAATGACCTGGATAATAAACTATCATGGGCGATCTGCTATTAATAATAATTATATTTGGCGACTTTTAAGAAATATGCACCAGCCGGGGTACACGACGTTTGGAGCCGAATCGTATTTGTCGTGGGAAGGGTGGAAAGGGGTCATCGGCGCTGCTCGGGAGGTCCCCAAATGACGTCTCCGGGCGGGGGCCCGGACGACATCGGCACTACCAGATTTGGACTCAGCGTGCGAGAAAACCCCCGAACACGATATTTCAGTCGTCCTGGTCGTTCCGAGGTTGACGGTCGGTCGGTCGGCCAAACCGTATCTTATTTTGACAGCCCCCGGAGGTCGATCAAAAGCCCCTGCTAGCGATAGAGGACGAAATAAGTGAGAAGATGTAACTGGTAACTCGAAACTTGTACCCTCAAGTCGTAACTTGTACCCTCAAGTCGTAAGTTGTACTCGCTACTCGTAATTCGCAACTCCCTAAATGTATACCTTCCCGGTACGGCTCTGAGCTTAGGTAGCCATTGACTCGTTGCCGCGGATCATTTCCCCCTTCTGGCCATGGGCCCTGAGAGCAGCCTGAGCTTACTCTAATGGACGATTTCAGCAGGCTCATGAAGTGAAGGTAGCCGTCTAGTGCACGGCTCTAGTAGATGTGTGCAAGATTGTCCGATTTGTCCTCCCGAACAATATAATTTCTTTTCAGAGGTTTAAATTCCAAGTTCTACAAACTAACCACAGATTAAGGATGACAAAAATGCAAACCCGTGTAATGAAAATACAAATTAAAGAACCATGACACTTCCTAAATGCTCGAAATAACTGGAAAGGGTTTGGTTTGGTACTTCCCTAAAATATTTGCGTAGATTAGTGTCAGTCTGATTGTTATGTTGATTGAGAGGGTTAGTATAATATGTAATTAAGAATATAATTGTTAATTTCTCATTTTCATTATTTAATAATTAGGAATACATATATGGAGTGTGAGTATCTGGATTAGACCTTGAACATCCATTTTCACTCCTCAAGAGTAACATAACATCTGTACATTGCATGATGTTCACAATGAGATTATTAATGGCATCATTAACTTAAACTTACAACAAATAAAACTCTTTCAGAAGTTTTATACAGGAAATCTTTAGAGGAATAGAGGATCTTCTTAATTTTTGGTCACAATTGAACAGTGATACCAACAGTTAACAGTGCAATGCATAGCTGTAGGTATAACAGAATATTAAAAGAAGTTTTCTGAGATAAAACAAAATCAAAACATATTACCATTGCTGGTAAACAGGTACCCACATGTATATGTACAAACAAGATCAAACAATAAGGTCTGGAATAACATTGTACCTAACATTCAAACAAAAAAATGAAATAAAACAGTATTAGAGTGCGAGTAAGGGAGAGTGGAAGTGAGTAATGACTGCTGAACTGCTTAAAGATTTGAAGGTATACTCAGTTCAAAGTACAGTTTAAAATTACCACTACAACAGAAGTGGGCGGTTGGTGATGGCTTAATGAAGATTAAAGGAAAACTAATACGGTAGTCCGATATTTCTTGAACTGGTTTGATATTGATACAACATTAATTCCAAAACCAACAATCTACTTAACACCAAACCTTCACCTCGTCAAAATTTGTTACTTGAAAATGAGCAATTAAGAGGACTTTGACAGTTTGGGGTGGTACAGAGATAGAAAGAAAGCAACTATGGAGATTATGTACAATGCCTGAGAGATGACCAATGTTTTAACAATCTAGTCTAAGATAAAATGCAATATTTGGATAAATTTTGGTTTCTTCTCATGACCTAAGGGCTCATTCTCTTCAAAAGAATAGGATCAATAATGAATAAGATAAAGGTTTTTTTTCTCCAACAAAACATAAAATTAAAAAATGTACAACATAAAAAGAAGGGGAAAATCACATCTTGTACTTTACAAAAGTATGTCTGAGTATAAACATGGGTATAAATTACTTCTTGGTCCAGTAAAGGGCTAATATAGACTTAACCGTAATATTGAACCTTCTAGCAGTTTTCAATATTTAAATACTAATCTGTACAAAACAAGTCCACATGAATGTGAGCGGACCAACAAACCCACTCCCCCTTGTCCATCTGTCTGACCGTCAGTCTGTCAAGTTTTTGTCTGTCTAACACATTTTAATTTTATCAATTTCTTTCTAAGCAAAGGAGAGAGGATAGCTAATAGCTATCTATTTAGCAGGCAAAGTTGCACTTGGCATTTGATATGGTATTACAAAAATAGCCCTCGGACAGATCTTGCCATGGCTTTGGTGAGAAACAGGAACACATGCTGCTGGAAGTAGACGCACATACCTTGTTTCGAGAGTGTTATGGCATGGTCCAAATTTAAAATAATATGACCAACTAACACATTTCTCATAGAAACTAGAATTATTTTCTAAAGGTATAACAATAAGTCATAAACACAATTTCACTCCTAAACATTCATTCAACTAAATGTTTTGACAGAAAATTTAACTTTGTTGCTGCTTTTCGGACAATCAGGTTATTAAAACAACAGAGAGAATAAAGACTAATGAAGATAGACTCAAGATCAACAGCAACATGAGTTGGTAAAACTATCCATTACCACATCAAGACAAGATAATTTTTAAGATTACAATAATAGAATAGAATACCTAATAGATTGGAGGAGTGTACCCATTCACACCTTTTCAACAAAGCTGACAGTGAGCCAAGTTATTTAGATCACGGGCATCATTTACTCGGCCTCAAAAAATAACTTACAATTTAATTGTGCGTGGAAATAACATTGAGCTACAGGAGAACACTAACCTCCTACAACAATATCCGGAATGGAACAATTCAATATTGCGGGCCCGAAACAATCAAGCACTATACCTTGCGATTAATATGGAAAAGCGGCGATGTCCACTCTAAGATTCTGATTAAAATCCTATGCTTATCAGTTATATGAGTAGGTATTATCAGTATTTGGCAGAAAACGCCGATCCTGACACCGTTTTCACTGTTTGTTTACGTTTCCATAAAGGCGCGGGAAATGCGCGGTGGGGGTGGGGAGGAGGAGAGGGGTAGGGGACGCGGCACGGCAAAGGG